AATTTATATATAGAATATACGCAAAAGCCTCAAATTATAGATTTATTTTAATATCGATTTTACGGAAACAGTCATATTAAAAAGACATCCGGAGAGCCTAAAATGAGTTTTAATTAGAATATTTTCAATGCATTTTTGTATACTTTTTTAATTCCTTAGCCAAATGTAGATTATCTTGTTTTGCTTGGTAATGCTTGTTCAGGTTTTCTGTAATAAAAAGTATCTGTTTAGGGTAGTATCTAAATTTAAATTTAAATTTTCAGACAATGCACCAACAGATCTAGAAGTTAGCTAAATGTTATGGTGTACTCATTTCTTCCCTTTCAATTATAATATTTTTTCGTTGTTCTGTTAGTTCCGACATTAAGTGAAGCACGACATGGTTAAACTAACTTTATTTAAACTCAAATCTTTCTTTCGGCAGCTTTATCTTGAAGTGTTAATATGAAAAATGTTGCCATCTGTTCATTTTTAATAATAATAATAGTCTCCCGTTTTATACCGCACGCGGCTTTGGGAGTATAGCAGGGTAGTCTGCTATATCTAGGGCCTACGGTATACAAGGAAGGTAACATGGCCAGTGCTACGCTTCAACCGCCTATTATTACCCCTGGTTTTACCCAAGGTACTCATTTTTATTCAGGCTGAGTCGACCTGGGGCCTATAGACATTTTTTAAAAATGCCTAGTTGTTCTTGCCGGCGGTAGGATTCGAACTCACGACCACCGGCATGCGAGGCAAGCACACTACCGCTTGCGCTACGCAGGCCCTATCTGTTCATTTTTCCATCCATTATTTTGCGCTTAATTACCTTTAGTACACTGGCTAAAAGGTCTCATCGTCAAATATAGAAGTATTAGCTATTTCGTTGACAGGGGAGCAAATCACTTCTAGTTTACCTTTAACTCTTAGTTTCTTGATCTTTTTTTTTACTTTCTGGAGTTCCCGTTGCCTCATCATGTCTTATCTCTACTATTCAATTACTTTAACCTTCCGCCGGTAACGTGAACTCTTGTAACATAGTAGTCTCCAACACTGACTTTTTCAGTAATGAATGTCTTAGGATATATAAATGATGGAAGTATAACTTTAATTTTTTCTAGAGGCACACTCACTGCAATAGAATTAACAATTGTCTCTTCACGTATTGCTAACAAATTTAAAGGGGAATTACCTACATGATAGATGATCAACTAGGATTTGATCGTCTTCAGCTGTACGAAGAGTTGGAACAACTCAAGGGGATTAAAAGGTTATACAGCAATACGAAAGCAAGAAATAAGTCATCAAAAGACTTAACCTACGTGCAGCTGATTAAGAGTGCGGATATAAGAGTGTTAAGAGCCGATGTTAAAATAAAGCAAAGATGCTATAAGTATTGTTCTGAAGCTATTTTCTTGTGGCATTGTAAATTAATTACTATTAAACTGGGAATAAGCCACAATTAAAGATAAAAATACGTTTATTGACGTTTCAATTTCCACTTCGGAAATCGTTCTCAAAATACAAACAGTAAATTAAACAAATTTTGTTTTTTGTTACATAGTGAAAAATTCTTCTAATAATTTAATTTTATCTGACTCATTTATATTGACAATTCGGACATACAATATGCATTTTAAAGTAGACGACTTTAAAATGATATTGCCAATATTGTTGAGTTGCGCTCCTGGGACGACTTTACTTATAAGATAGTTCATTCGATTACATGAAATCAACTTTAACTTGAGAATATCCGTCAGAAAAAAATCATAGCATGTAATTCGTCTTTAAAAAGACAAACACATGACATGATGACAGTAAAATTCTCCTGTTAGGGATTCCATAGTAAATTATGAGGGAAAAACCAGGAAAAAAACCTCATAATACTATCCCGACATTGTAAGTATTTGTTCGTGAATTTAGTTTACCTTCAACAAACATCAAAATTCTGATGTTATATGTTACGTTATTTAAAAAACATAAATGATATATCCTCTATATGTTACTGACTTACTAATACTGGTATTTTCTTATTAATAACTTCTTCTTTCAATATTGGTAACCAGATCCTACTACATTCTGCCGAGGAATTTGCGACACAATTGGCCTTATTTAGCATAATTAGAGCAGCTTCTTTGATTTTTTTTTTACCATCCGTTTCTTTTAGGACTACATTTGAATTATTCCATTGAACCCTATGTTCATTATCCCATGCGTGTTTACAGATTTGAGATCTATCAAATTCTCTATTTTTAATATAAGATTGATGTTCACTTATTCTAACATTTATTGGCCTTGATGATCCAACAAAGTCTTTGGAAAACAAAATATATAGAACTTTTTTGAGAAGACACCTCATTTTTATGGAGTACCGAAAATTCATAAAACGAATATACCACTTAGACCCATTTGTAGTACCATGAATTCTCCTTGTAGTGAACTATCAAAATTTTTATTAAATATTTTAAAATCATTTACAAATAAAAATGACACATTCATAAAAAATACACAACATTTTTTAAATAAATTATCAAATATTGAATTTAATTCAAATCATACTTTGGTAAGTTTTTGACATAAATAGTTTATTTACGAATGTGCCATTAATTAAGACTAAGTATAGTCAAGACAAAATTAGAGAGTGATGATTCATTGGCAACTAGAACAAGACTAAACATATCGGCTATAATGGAGTTATTAACATTATGTACTGATAATACATATTTTCAACTAAATAATGAATTCTATAAACAAAATTTTGGTCTAGCAATGGGCTTTAGTTTATCTCCATTCTTAGCCGATATATTTGTGGAAGATTTTGAAACAAATATCATTTCTAAACAAAATTTCAAACCCACAGTATGGTGGAGGTATGTAGATGATGTATTCTCAATATGGCCTCATGGATCAGAGTTGTTGGACATATTCCTAAATGATATAAACGATAAAGAAGAGACAATAACATTTACCATGGAAAAGGAATATAATAGCATGCTACCTTTCCTGGATGTTTTAATCTCTAAGAACGATACTGGATATGAGACTCAGGTGTATAGAAAACCAACACACACCAATAGATATTTAAATTTCAAATCAAATCACAATATTAATGTAAAAAGGGGAATAATTAAATCCTTATAAGATAGAGCCAAAATTACTTGTTCTAACGAAAATTCGTTCTTGCAGGAGAAACATTTGTTAACATCTGTTTTATTAAAAAATGATTATCCTTTATCGTTTATAAATAAGGAATTTTCAACAATCGATCGAATAGAACAGAACAACTTAGAACGAGATCCTACAGCATACACAAGGAATAATATGAGGAAAATAACAATACCGTACATAAAAGGACTATCAGAAAAACTTAAAAGGATAGGAAATAAATTCAACATTTCAACAACATTCAAAACAACAAACACGTTGAGATCTATTTTGTCCAAAACCAAACCTAACAATGAACAAGAAAGGACAAAGAATTGCATTTATAAAATACCTTGTGAATGCGATCAGTTTTATTTAGGTGAATCATCAAGGCCAATAAATGTTAGAATAAGTGAACATCAATCTTATATTAAAAATAGAGAATTTTATAGATCTCAAATCTGTAAACACGCATGGGATAATGAACATAGGGTTCAATGGAATAATTCAAATGTAGTCCTAAAACGAAACGGATGGTAAAAAAAGAAAAATCAAAGAAGCTGCTCTAATTATGCTAAATAAGGCCAATTGTGTCGCAAATTCCTCGGCAGAATGTAGTAGGATCTGGTTACCAATATTGAAAGAAGAAGTTATTAATAAGAAAATACCAGTATTAGTAAGTCAGTAACATATAGAGGATATATCATTTATGTTTTTTAAATAACGTAACATTTAACATCAGAATTTTGATGTTTGTTGAAGGTAAACTAAATTCACGAACAAATACTTACAATGTCGGGATAGTATTATGAGGTTTTTTTCCTGGTTTTTCCCTCATAATTTACTATGGAATTCCTAACAGGAGAATTTTACTGTCATCATGTCATGTGTTTGTCTTTTTAAAGACGAATTACATGCTATGATTTTTTTCTGACGGATATTCTCAAGTTAAAGTTGATTTCATGTAATCGAATGAACTATCTTATAAGTAAAGTCGTCCCAGGAGCGCAACTCAACAATATTGGCAATATCATTTTAAAGTCGTCTACTTTAAAATGCATATTGTATGTCCGAATTGTCAATATAAATGAGTCAGATAAAATTAAATTATTAGAAGAATTTTTCACTACGTAACAAAAAACAAAATTTGTTTAATTTACTGTTTGTATTTTGAGAACGATTTCCGAAGTGGAAATTGAAACGTCAATAAACGTATTTTTGTCTTTAATTGTGGCTTATTCTAAGTTTAATAGTAATTAATGCTATAAGTACTTTAGAAAGTTACTAAATGAAGAACATCAGAGGAGAGAGAGATGACCTAAATGAGAATCTTCTTCTTTTTTGTCTAGCCATTTACGTCCAAATCTGAACATAAGCTTTTTCAAGTCTTCCTTTCCATTGTTTTTTAATGTACGCTACTTGTAGCCAATTTTTCCCGGCAGTCCTTTTCAGATCATCTGTCCATCTCATAGGAGGTCTGCCTCTGGGTCTTTTGTGTTGGTATGGTCTCCAGGTTAAAATTGATCTGTACCATTTGTTTAGATCGCTCCTAGCTACATTTCCAGCGTATTCCCATTTCAACTTTAATGATTTTTGCACCACATCGTGATGTAAAATAATGAGAATACATAAATGAGTTCACATAAATGAGAATACGATACCGGAAATAGCGGAGGATAAGGTTACTGAGACATTAAATATAATGAATAATGGTAAAGCAATAGAACCTGATGGAATACTTGTGGAGGTTTGAAAGGCTCGTACGATATATGAGGAAAACGGTGTCCAATGGATAGTGAGAGTGTGTGTTGGTATCATAAGGGGGACATTCCTTTTGTAACAACAATATAGGGATAAAGTTAATGTCGCACACAATGAAAATTTGGGAGAGAACTGTAGAGCAAAGGTTAAGGAAAAAGACATCAATTGGAGAAGAACAGTTTGAATTTATGCCAGGTAAGAAGACAACGGATGTTTTGTTTGTTTTTTGAGGCAGTTGATAAAAAAATACTAAAATAAAAAAGAGAGCAACATTTAGTACTTATAGAACTTGAGAAGACACAGTTCCTAAACAAGAGCTGTAAAGAAGATGAGAGATCAATGGGTAGTAGGAGATAAGAGAACGCATCGGAAAAGCTAGATTCACCTTCAATTGGATGGGGCCCTTTTTTAAGAGTCACAACCTCTCTCTTGATACAAAAGTGATAATGCTGCGATGCTGCGTTTTCTCTGACCTTTTGTATGGTGTTGAATCGCGGACCTTGAACAAAGATATGTGCAAAAAACTTGTGCTGTTTTTTCTACTTTATTTTTTGTCATTTAGCTTATATGATCATTCCATTCTACTCTTCTATTTCTTACCCAGTTTTTTATGTTCTCCGCCTTGCATCTATGTTGTATATCTGTACTTCTAGGTCTGTCCCATAGTGTCTTACCATCAATGTTTCTTAGTGTTTCTATCTCTGCTCTTTCTAACATCTTTTTTGTCCTCTCTGTGTAAGGTCTTGTTTCAGCCGCGTATGTCATTATTGGTCTGATGACTGTTTTTCAAATTCTGCCTTTCGTATCTTTTCCGATATTTGTATTTATCCATATTGTTTTATTTAGGCAGCCTGCGGCTCTGTTTGCTTTATTAACTTGAGCATCCACTTCGGTTTTGAGCTTTCCGTAGCTAAATAATGTGATGCCTAGATATTTAAACTCCATCTTTGTTCTATTATCTGACCTTTCAGCTCAAATTTACATCTTAGTAAATTTTCTGTTGTAACCGTGCATTTTTTCTGTTTTTGGGAAATTAACATGTTAAATTTTTTGGCGGTTATATTAAATTGGTGCAGCATACGTTGTACAGCATCTTCACTTTCAGAGAGTAGTATTGCGTCGTCTGCATAGCAGATTATTTAAAGTTATTTTTCTCCCATTTGGTATCCTTTTTTGGTCTTACTGATTTATTATTTCATCCATAATCAGGTTGAACAATAGAGGACTCTGGGAATCCCCCTGTCTTATCCCATTCCCAACTTCAATAGAGTCGGTTAGTTCTTCTTCCACTTTTACTTTTATTGTGTTGTTTTGGTAGATATTATCGATTGTTTTAATTATTCCTAGGGGTATCTCTCTTGCGTACTGCAAGTGGATAACGTCTTTTAATTTGACCCGGTCAAATGCCTTTGTAAGCTCCACGAAACATAGACATGCCGGTTTTTTGTATTATAATGATTTCTCTTGCACTTCATCATCATCCAGCCTCAAGAGTCCACTGCTGAACATAGGCCTCTTCCTCATGTTTCCAACCCCGTCTATCTTGCGCCGCTCTTATCCAGTTTTTATTGAGTTTTCTTAAATCGTCAGTCCATCTTGTACGTGGTCGACCGACGCTTTTCTTGTCTTCCCTTGGCCTCCATTCCAATAACCTCTTTGTCCATCGCCCATCTGTCATTCTGGCTATGTGTCCTGCTCATCTCCATTTTAGTCTGGCTATCCTCTCGATGATGTCAGTTACTCCGGTTTTTCTCCTGATTTCTTCGTTTGTTATTCTGTCTCGAAGAGTTATTCCTAACATGGACCGCTCCATTCTTCTCTGTGTGACTCTTAGTTTGGTAGCTACTGCTTTTGTTAAGGTAAGTGTTTCTGCTCCGTACGTCAAGACTGGGAGGACGCACTGATCAAATACCTTTCTCTTTATGCATGTGAGCAGCTCACTTTTAAAAGTTTCTCTCAGTCTTCCAAATGCTGCCCACTCAAGGCCGACTCTTCTCTTCAGTTCATGAGTCTGGTTATCTCTGCCAATCATAATTTCATGTCCCAGGTATTTATATCTATCTACGAGTTCTATACCACATAGCTAGAAGAACGGGCACCATGGAACTATTGGTAGTAGAAGGTAAGATAGAAGGCCGAAGACCAAGAGGAAGATCTCCAATACGATGGGTGGACCAAATGAAGAGTTTGGTGGGAAAATCCCTACATGAAGCCGTCCATATGGCACAAGATCGCAGTCAATGGAGACAGCAGACTAATAATATTTAGGGTGTCACTACGCCCTGACAAGGGCTAAAGGATTGAGGAGGAGGACGAGTTCTATTTCTTTCCCACCAATACTGATGTTCTGGTTGGGCACGAAATTGGTCATGATTTTTGTTTTCGAGATATTTATATTTAAACCTACATTTTCTGTAGCCACAACGAGTTCCTGTACCATCTCTCTTGCCATACCTAGATCTTCAGCTATTATAAGTATATCATCTGCGAAACGTAAGTTGTATATTTTTAAAAAGTGAAACTGGAACAACCCATGAAGTGGAGATATCCAGGAGTGGCTAGTATACCTGTTGAATACAAAGCACGTGGTGTTCGTGTGTATTAAGGTATAAAAAAATAATATTTTTATAATATTTTATATTATAAAAACATAATATTTTATAAAATAATTTTTTATACCTTAATACACACGAACACCACGTGCTTTGTAAGTTGTTTAGATATTCTCCGTCTATTTTTATTCCCTTTGTTATCCAATCCAAATTCTTAAAAGCATGTTCTAGCACCGTATTAAAAAGTTTAGGTAACATTGGGTCTCCTTGTCTAACCCCCCGTTCTATTATTATGCGATTACTGTTAGTATGTAATTTGACAGTGGTTGTTGCCTGCAGGTATATTTTGTATAATTTAGTATATCTATAATCTAGCCTGCATTCTTTAAGCGCCTGTAATATTTTGCTTAGCTTAACTGTGTCAAAGGTTTTGTGAAAATCGATAAATATTAGAACTAGAGTTTTTTGTATTCCACTGCTTTCTCTATTAGGGTTTTTATACTTTGTAGATGGTCATTTGTTCCGTAACTTTTTCGGAATCCTGCCTGTTGCCTTGGTTGATAAGTCTCTAATTTTTTTTCCATTCTCTTAACTAGTATTCGCGTAAACAACTTATATATATGGCTGAGGAGGCTAATCGGTCTGTAATTCTCTAAATTTGCTTTGTCTCCTGCTTTGTGTAATAGAATTATAGTAGCGTTGTTCCAGTATGTTGGAATATTGGCGCTGTGAAGGCAGATATTGAAAATTTGTTTAATTTTTTCAAGTTATACATCCCCTCCAATTTTTAGTGCTTCTGATACTATTCCATCTTCGCCCGGGGTTCGATTATTTTTCATTTTCTTCAGGGCTTCTTTGATTTCTGATTTTGTTATATTGGGCATTAAATCTGATCCTTGGTTTAATACCCCAGTTTTTAGTGTAATTGGAGGTTCCGTATTGCTATCTTTTTTTCTTTATCTATATAACTCTGTGTTGAACTCTTTGACTATTCTTAATATTTCATCTCTGTTCATTGTTTCTTCTCCACTTCTGTTTCTCAGTTTGTTAATTTCTATTTTCCCCTTTTGTACGCTCCTCTTCAAAACTTTCATGTTCTTATTTTTCTCTATTGCCTGTTTTGTTTTTTCTACATTGTGGTATCTTATGTCTTTTCTTATTACTTTTGTGATTGTCTTATTTATTTGATTTATCGCTTCTTTGCTTGCAGGGTTATCTCCTTTCATTTGTCGCCTTAGTTCTATAAGGCTTTTCGTGGGTTGACTCAGTTTTTCATCTTTTTTGCTTGTCGGACAATATTTAGTTTGTACCTGTTGCATTGTGTTGACTATTTGTTTGTTCAATATATTGATGCCAGCTGTTGTTGTATCTTTCAATGAATTCCCAATATATTTTTCGAACTCCTGAATGTTAGTTGGTTTTGTCCATTACTTTGGTTGTTTCTTATTTATCATTTTGAGTCTTTCTTTTTCGGTTGATATCGTTATTTTAGCTCTTACTAACATATGATCACTGCTTGTACTGAACTGGTTTAGCATATTTACGTCTTTAAATAATTCTCTTTTGTTTGTTAAGAAATAGTCGATTTCGTTCCTTGTTTTTCCATTAGGACTTTCCCATGTCCATCTTCTGTGTCTTTTCTTTTTAAAGAAGCTGTTTATTTGATAGAGATTGTTTTCCAAAAGGAAAGTCAGTAGTTGTTTGCCTCTATCATTTCGGCCTTCGCTTCCAAAATTTCCCAATATTATTTCAGAGGGGTCTTCCTTAGTGAATATTTTGGCGTTGAGATTTATTGGCGAATTACCAACAAATCTCGAAAGTTACAATTTTTGGGGCATATTATGCAAAATTAATTTAGAAGAACATCTTAGATTATCAAAGAACCTTAGAATCTGGTTCAATACAACGTATGTGCAGCTTTTCCGCGCTGCTGCAGTTAAGATAAAGATTGCCATGATGATCGCCAACATTTGTAACGGATAGGCATATCAAGTGTTAGTAGAGGAGAGTAAGGAAATGTTGGAGGAAAAGTGAGAGAGTTTTGAAGGGCTGTTAAAACGGGAGGACTTTATCAGGTTGAAAACGGAGTATATGGGGTAGGGAGGAAGACGAAGAGGAATAGTTAGGGACAGAATTGTTTGGACAAAAACTAGGACGAGTAGGAAAATTTAAATACCTTGGCTCCTATATAACGAAAAATGGGACACTAGAGAGATAAATTTCCCACGGGATACAGGCTAGTTGGTTTAACTGAATGGGTTAATTACTCTGTGATCGAAAAATCGGGGAAGGGCTAAAGATATACTAGAGTGTGGTAAGACCTGTATTGGTGAACGGCGGTGAAGTGTGGCATGTAAAGATGGGACTGTGTGGCGGAGGACTTAAGAGAGAAAAATTTAGGTAAAAAGACCCGATGTAAAAAAATTTGTGGCGACGAAGAGTAAGCAATAGCAACCTTTGAAAAAGGAAAAGCTGAGGAAAAATAGGAAGAAGACGCTTGGACCTGATCATTATCTAATACTTATCCAAATGCAAAAAAGTTCTTAAACTTTTTGTATTAAAATTCATGAGAAAATCCCACTAGTTGGGTGTATACCATAGTTAAAAAACTAATACAGAGGTAAAAACTTCAAATTTGTAAAT